TTCAAAGACCAGGGCGCTTATCAGCTCGGGTCCCTTTTCTCAGGAGCTTGAGAAGTCCCTGAGACCCTGTTGGTGAGGAGGCAGGGCTATCTGAACCTTAACATATATCACGTTTCCTCCTCCAAAGCCTCAGGGATCATTGTATAAGAGGGGACAGTAAGGCTGTACCAGCCATAGCTGGTGAATAAGAACAAGGAAACAGTGTTTTCCAGACAGCAGTGCAGTTCCACATATAAACTCACAGGAATTTTGAGGGCATCCACAAGACCAGTGAAAGCCCAAGCCAGACAAAAATCCCAGCATGGAGCAGAGGAGACAGACAAGAAGTCCAGCCCTAACTGAGGAACCACTGGCTACTGCTAGTTTTGGGGAGAGCAAGAGCTGGTTTTCTTAAGGGTGTGACCGCAGGTAGGTTCACCAGGCTCCAGGGCATGGGCTCAAACCCAAGAGCATTTGGAGAACTCAAATCAGACTCAATAGGCCTTTAAAAATAATAATAGAGGACATGAAGGTAAGGAGGGGATGGAAATGGGGGAGGGGTCTAAATTTAATCAAAATGCAATATATGAACTTCTCAGAGAATCAATAAAAATATTTTAAAAGACCTTAATAAACTTACTGATGGAATTAAGTTGCTTTTGCATTCCAAATATACCATTTTGGGGAGAACTTATTTTTTCATATTTAAAACACATTCCTGACTATTACTTAAGCATAGAAAAATTTCTTGGGTCGGTAGTCATAAACATCACCTTTTTGCTCTCTCTCATGGGTTCAAAACACTGTTTAAGGTATTTAAAATCAGAAAATACATCTTTGCCCTGGCTTAGTGATTTAGCATTTAAATACAAATTCCTTAAGTATTGATAATCATATACAATACTACATTCTTACTCATGAGCCAAGAAATTCCAGGCATTAAAAAATATACTAGTGGAGAAGGGTGTGGTGGTGCATACAAGCAGTGAGGAAGAGGAGGAGTTGAGGCAGGTGAATCTCTGTGAGATCAAGGCCAGCCTGGTCTACATAGTGAG